TATGGGTTCCAGGCAGAAAGCTGGGATGGCGTTGCAGGAGAGAGGGAATAGCTGGCTAATTGTTTCTTTTCAAGTCAGGGTTTATCTGCGTAGCCCTGGCACTCTTGGAATTCAATTTGTAGACCAGGCTGGCCTCAAAATTACAGAGATCTACTTGCCTCTGCCTTTTGAGTACTGGGAATAGTGTCTGACATTTTTAGAGAGGAGCTCACATTTAGTTCAGGCTAGCCTTGAATTTGCAAAACATACACCTCGGTTTATTGAGTGTTGCGATTGTAGGCATGAACCAGCGTGCATCACTTTAACAAATGCTTTGTGAAATCAGCTTTCTCAACCTGCAGTAGTAGGAGAACTGCTCTTCCTGCATTCTATGCTTTCTGTACGTTTACTTCTTTAGAAGAATATTATTTTGATGGCTAAAAAGTAAATATAGCTCAATGAATAAATGACTGCCTTATAAATTTCCCTACAATAATCACAGATCCACTGTTTAATTGAATTTCTCATTACCATTTTGTAAACGAGAATGGCATTTTAAATGTTAAGGTGACACATAAATTCTATTATATATGTATCATATAATTCCATGAATGTATATGATAAAGAACACACTGACCAAAGAACTGTGCATCTATTTGTGTCTTGATCCACAGCCATATGCAAACAGAGAAGAGAAACATCCAGCACCTTGTTGTATCATTAGTCACAATACCTGGTGATGAGTGTTGGAGAACCCAAAAAGTTGAATTCAGGAAGTCTTGAAGGTCCACGGCACAAGATGCTTTCATGTCTGCAGCCAATTGCCACAGGTCATAGGCCAGAAGAACTCTTCCAAATAACCCAAAGCGGGTTGTTCAGTTCTGATCCTAAGCTTTTGACTGCTTTTGTGGAAAAGCCATTAGGGAAATGAACAGGTCTGAGTGTGGCTGATAAGGCTTATGGAGAAAACGTGCAAGCCTTTCCGGCGAGGGTCCTTTGAGAGCCACAAAACGATAGAGCTGTTGGCGAGTGATAGGAAAGGTCTTGAAACATAACAAAATGAGGGCTTCTTTCCTCATTCCATGCAGCTGAGTTTTATCAGGAAGGCCATTTGTGCTTATAGGAAACAACAATCGCTCCTGGTGGGACGTGCGTTCTCAGCGAGGCAGCACTTGCTGAGCTGGTTTGAACATCAGTGCCCTGTCCAAGGCATGCTTCTCGCTGTGAGGCCTGGCTGTGACTGCTCGTGGAGCTTTGTTGGCATTTTAGAAACATCTGTGCTGTCTGAGAGTCTTCTCACCAGAAGGAGTAAGCTTGTGGAGACAGCATGGGTACACCAGTGTCCACTATGTCAGTCTCAAAAGCGATGTGCAAAAGTCACATGGTCAGTCTATTTTTCAGAGTTGTTTGAAAACCTTGGAGTTGATGTCTTTCTCTGCTGGAGCCCTTTCACTCTTGGATAGTAGAAAATATTGACTTTGGATCTAGGAAATCCCACCTTCCAATCCTGCCTCATCCCCCTTTTTTTTATTTTCTGTTATTCCTCTCCAGTTTACAAAATATTTCTATGTATTCCCAGGTATGATCACCTTTTGACTTTCAACATTGAGTAAATCATCCTTATGAAGTAAATTCTATTAATCACATAACACAACGAACTCATGTGTAAAGACGTTGAGAAAATTATTTAAATTATATGATCTATCAAAGAATGCCTATAATTTAATCCTGATGGTAATTCCAAATATAAAAGTAAATATTGTGTCCAAGGAGATGCCTTAGAGATTGCTGTCAAGCCTGACAGGATGAGTTCTAAGAGTGATGCCTACATGGTGAAAATGAGACCCAGCTTCTTCAGGCTGTCTTTTGATATCTACATAGATGCTATAGAAAACATTTGCTCCACAATAAGTAACCTAATGAAAGTATGTATTTGTTATGAGATATGAAGTACAATATAATGTGTTCAATGTATATACTGCACCCATACATTATGAGTATTGTTAAATTGTGAATTTATGAAGGTGGATACATGGTTTCAGTGAAGTTAGGATATCTCCCATGGACACATGGAAAGTAGATTAAAAAGCCTAGATGTAAATTAGATGTATGAGATTCTGGAGTTCATGTTCTATTTTTTATTTTTATTTAATTTTACTTTATATAATGATTGTTGCCTGCTTGTATGCATGTCTACCATGTACATGATTTGTGCCCTCAGTATCCAGAAGAGGGGGGTCAGATCCTTTGACACTGGAGTTACAGATGGTTTCTGAGGCACTATACCAATGCTGTGAATCGAACCTTAGTCCTTCATAAAAGCAACAAGGGTTCTTAACTCCACAGCCATCTCTCCAACCCCTGCTGTTCTTCTTCACCAAAGACCTGTGTTGACTCATATATTCTCTTTAAATCTCAGCGAGTTTCACTGTTCTAAATGTTATTTTAGTTTCTAACCATGATTTTATTGCTTTTACCAAGCTCATTTACTCTTGCACTGTTTCCCATAGGTAAAAATCCCCTGCTCGATCTCTCATTCACACAGTTTTTGACACTTGAGTGCAGTTGCCAAGATAATTGAAGATTTCACTGAGAATTTCTAGAAATGTGAAATTTCTGGCTAATGAGCAAACAACAGCGACTTGACCTGCTGGAACTACCCAAAAGTTCTATCCAAAACTTACAATAATTTTATACTCAGAGAAGAAGTTGGTAATGAGAAACTAAGAGAATTTTAACTTTTCCATTAGAAGACATTGCGAAGGGCTTATGATTACTAACCGAGAGGAAAAGGCTGGGTTTAATGTGTGAATTCACTCTTGATGAAACTGTAGAAAGGAACACATGACAGCTGGTTGTAACGTCAAAGGCTCATAAACGGGGGCGAGGTATGAGAAAGTGAGTCTTAATATCAAGAAACATTTTACATGTAAGGGGACTCAGATTCCATAATTCAACAGTATTCACTTCTGCAATTAGGAATATGTCACGACTGGAAGTATTTAATCATCAGTTATTCAGGTTATTGTGGATAAGATAAAAACATTAAGTACAATTACCATGTGTCCTAATTAGCTTTAGCTGTTAACAAAACCTAGAGCTATCTGAGAAGGGAGTCGTAACTATCAAAATGATGATACCTTAAGATAGAGCAAATTGTACATTTTTTCTATTAAATATATACTTCTACATTTTTTCTTCCTTCCCGATCCTGAAGACCACCAATCTGTTCTCTCCTATAATTATGACCAGTTACATTCCTCATATAGAGGGTACATTGGAGTAATTGACATTCTGTGTCTGGCTTGTTTCACTTAACAAAATGTTAATTAATTTTGTCCATATCATTGTAAGGGGAAGAATTATTTTGTGTAATGTTAGAGACATGTTCTTATGTAATGTGCCATATTCTCTTTACCCACTTGTCTGTCAGTGTACATTTTGATTGTTTCTATAATTTTGATCATGAAACTTAATGTTATAATGCACACAAGGACACAGATGTGCTTTGAAATCATGATTTCAATCCTTATGTATAAACTTATAAGTTGGATTCAGAATAAAAGAAGTTTTAAGTTATAGTTTTACTTTTTAGACTTTTTAATCGAATTACAATTATATTCCCTCTTCCTTTTTCTCCTTCAACTGTACCCATGGTTCTTCCACTCTTAAACTGATAGCCTCTTGATCCTTGATTATTATTGTTACATATAATTACATATATATGTATGCGTGTATGCACAAATTTATGAATATAATCCACTGAGTCTATTTTTTGTTATAAATATGTATAACACAATCTTTTATAATATATATAATGCAATTTCTCTATACCCATCCTTTTCAATATTATTATCTTTGTCTTATGGATATCAGCCATACTAAAAAGGATAAAGTAATATCTTAAACTTTATTTACATCTATGTGATCAATAATGACATTTAATACCATTTTATGTGTCTATTTTCCATTTGTATATATTCTTTGAAAAAATTTCTACTCATTCCATTTGCCTAGCATTATAGGAATATTTTTTTATATATACATAATCGTTATTATATTTCAGTTCCATCTATAGAGTTTTTAAGTTTTTTACACTGTAAACCAATTTGTTTATTTTTCTTTTGTTGTCTATGTATCGAATATTATAACCAAAAAGTTATTATTAAAATGTTTCGATGATTGCTCTTCAAGATATTTTCTCCAAAGAATTTTATAGTTTCAAATGTTAGATTTATGTCTTGTATTTATTAAAGTTGAATATTGTATAGACATAATGTGAGAACCCAATTTTGTTCTTGTTTGCAAGTGGATTTTGTTAGTTTTATTGCACTGTAACTAAGTACTTCAAAGAAACAACTTAATGAAGGAATGTTTGTCTTTGTTGAATTTTAAAATATTTGGTCATTTTAGTCATTTTGACAGGGGACATATCCTAGAGTTGAGTAATGGTCAGGAAGCAGAGAGAGGAAATTCAGGAAGGAACTGGGCCCAGATGCAGTTCTCAATGACCCACCTCAGTGTCCTAATTCCTCCTACCTTTATGTTCCCCATTTACTAAAATGTTGCCGTGTTATGAATTCATCAAGAGATTGATAAGCTGATAAAGGCCCTCAGAATTCATTGACTTCCTAAAGGCACACAAGGAATGAGTCTACAACTGCCACTTCCTATCATCATGCATATTTTTCAAGATATGATTTTTATCAACATGATTTTTTAAAGAAATTGTGATTTCTTTATAGTGTGTTATTTACACACTTTTCAAAGATTAGCTAATTGTGTACCCATGACGTTATGTCTGGGCCCTCTATTCTCTTCTCTTGAGCTATGAGTCCTTTGGTGGTCTTTCGTGTTAAAAATCTATAGCTTTGAAATGTACTTTGAAGTAAGGAAGCATACGATTTTCAGATTTTTTTCTTTTTGTTCAAATTTGCTATGCGTATTTTGTCTTTTTTGTAGTTGTCATGTGAATTCTAGGATTTTTTTCTGGTTTTGGAAAAATCACTGGCATTTTGATAAGGATTGTATCGATCCTGTTCGTTGCCTAAGTGATAAGGATTTTTCACTTTAAGAGTCAGTTCCATAATAGCATGCTTCCAAAGTTCTTTAATATCCACATTTTTCTTTTTCCATTTTTGCAGCATTGTCTCTGACTCAGTACTTGACTTCAGTCACATATTTCATAACTCTGAACTTTGGACTTATCACATCTAAGTGTTAGGGTCTTTGAAAATCCAACATGATGATTTGGGAATGGTTAGTCATGATCTCCATTCAGAGGTATTAATGACATTTTTGCTTAAAGCATGAGGAAAGAAATTGTAAGTCATCATGTTTCCTGAAGACCACATCCTCAAAAACAGATTTACCTCAATGTATAACTCTTTATTGTCAGATTTTATGAAATTTTTTGGTTGGTATTTAAATAAAAGGGTGGGTCACAGAGGCAAGCTTGTTACAGAATGTCAAGTTGGTTTAATTAGCAGTCTTGGATAGAAACTTTCCACTCAATTCTGTTTTAGACAATATCAACACCAATGAGACCCCTAGTAGCACATCCTAAGGTTTGTCTACATGCCTACATTTTCTATTTGTTTTACTATTTGAATGACTGGAGCTTGAACACAGGTCCTTATGTATATGAGACAAATATTCTTCTACTAAGCTATATACCCTGGCAATTTATATTTAATAATTTGAGGTAGATTCTTGCTGAGTCACCTAGTATTGAACCTGTGATGTGATTCTCCTGTCTCATTCTCCCTGGTAAATGCCATTACAGTCCTATACTATCAAGCCATGCTCTAAATATATTTAATGGTTGTTTAAATCCCTTTGGGGATAGTTTCAAAGACAGAAATGAATGGTATGGGCCCATAATTCATCCTATTCTTGCTTTGTGCTACACAATATAT